ATTTTTTTGAACCTTTTCCTGGTTGATTGAAGATTGATAGTGGCTTCATAGTCTCACCACCATCGTCATGGCAATTGGGTCTATTTTGAAAGCATGACACACTTCTTTTAAAGTAATAAGAACCAAAATTAGTTATCTCCCTACCAAGATGGAATTGAACCATTGAGCCTTCAACTCTATGATTTTGTTTCATGCCACGTTTAGACTTTCCAATAGTCCTACATTATACATTGTTATCCTTGATTTAAACAACATATTAATATAAAAATATTAATAGTTAAATATTTACCTCTCAAAAGGATACATCCATCTATATTGAACCGGACCTCCAACGCGTGCTTCATGCACTAGATGTACAGAAAGATGCTCCATCACATCGAAAAATCCAGGTGGAAGAATCTTCTCCAATTTATTCGTAATTACAAGAATATTTTGATCCATCTGAACTAGGTTGTCTTCACTTAACGTATTAGAACACAAGTCCTTGAAGAACAAACTTATTTCAGTCATAGGTTTCCAAATTCTATCAGGCAAGCCACTAAATGCAATGGGGAGTAATGTTTCCATGAAGACATGACAATCATGACTTTTCATACAATGTAATTTTCCATGCTCCATATCAACACATTTTCCTAAATTTGAAGCATGTCCCGCAGGCATCTTAAGTTGCTCGACCCATTCACAAATTTTACGCTTTTGATCCCTTGTAAATGAATAACTAGCCTTAGGCTTGAAGAACTTGTTGTTCTGCTTCTCTTGCAACCATAACTCTTTTCGCCTGCAATATTCAGGTAAGTCCATTCTAGCTTTAACTCTATCTTTTGTCTTGCCAGTGACATCCATTACTGTGTTAAATAAATTATCAAAGTAATTTTTTTCAATATGCATGACATCAAGATTATGTCGAAGAAGATTGTCCTTCCAATACGGTAACACCCAGAATATGCTTTGTTTTGTCTAGTTATGTGCAACACCATATCCATCAAATTTATAGGGTTGTTCTTTTGCGACCCTTGAAAAGTTTTGAACCCTCTCCCAAACTTGTTCTCCAGTTAAGATTGGAGGAGGATAACCTTGTTCAACAGAATTCTTTCTGAATGCATTTTTCATTCTCCTAAACTCATGATCCATTGGCAAGAACTGTCGATGACAGTCAAACCAAGAACTTTTACGATCATGTTTCAAAGTGAATGATTTAGTATTTTCCATACAATAAGGACAAGCTAACTTTCCCGCTGTCATCCACCCTGACAACATTCCATATGCTGGAAAATCATTAATAGTCCACATTAAGGCAGCCCGCAAATTAAAATTCTGCTTAAGAGACACATCAAACGTTTCAACCCCTTGTACCCACAATTGTTTCAACTCATCAATCAAAGGTTGAAAGTATACATCAATCAATACTTTTGGATTCCGAGGGCCAGGAATGACACAATTGAGAAATATATATGGACTGGTCATACACATCTCGGGTGGAAGATTATATGGTGTTACAAATACAGGCCAACAAGAATATGGTGCAGCAGAAACAGAATGCGGCGTGAATCCATCTGAACATAAACCCAATCTAATGTTACGTAGTTCAGCTTCAAATAGTGGATATGTTCTATCAAAATGCTTCCAAGACTCTCCATCGGATGGATGACACATAACTCCAGGTGGTCTTCTATGTTCATGGTGCCATCTCATATGAGGAGCAGATCTATTAGACGCATACAACCTCTTTAACCTTGGTATAAGAGTTAAGTTATGCATTGCCTTAATAGGAACTTTCTTCCCACTAGCTGTCTGTTTATAACGACATTTTCCACAAAACTTACAGGATTCTAGATCAATATCATCCTTATAGTATAACATGCAACAATATTCACAACAATGAATTCTCATCGATGACATTCCTAACTTTGATACCAACCTCTTTGCCTTATAGAAATTATCAGGTATCTCTAGATTTGGGTCAACTAAATCATGAATAAGGTCAGTCACAGAGTCCATTGCCCCTTGAGGAACTCTCCAATCTGATTTGATATTTAATAATCTAACCGCAATAGACAACTGTGAGTGTGGACTCCCCTCATATAAAGACCGACTAGAAGATTCCAATTGTTCAAAGAAAATTTTACATTCAACATTAGGAGCTTCTTCACCTTGATTAGCAAAATCAAAATCAGAATGCAAACCAAAAGCATCTTGAACCATGTCATCAATTCTATAATTTTGTGCATTAGAATTCACATTGCTACTACTTTCACCATGAACATAATGTTGGAATACATCAAAGTTATTATCAATTTCTCCATGACTAGTCCACGCAGTGTATTCTTTTTTAAACCCATTTCGATAGATATGAAGCTCAACAGCATCTGGTTTCTTATAATTCAAATATTGACATTTATTACAAGGACACTTAATCATACCACTCTGTTGAAAAGGATCTAATGTCTTTGCATACTCCACAAAACCAATGACACCTTCTACAAATTCAGGTCTTAGCCCCATTCGACCAAAATTAGTCATATTATACATCCAACTACGATCCATCTACATAAGAATCATAAATTAAATTTGTCGATCACTAAACAATAGTTACAATTTTTTCTTATTAACAAACTTAA